GCACAGAAGAAGAACGACGGCCATAAACATAAGAGCAATAACTCGCAAACATGACATTCGCAGAAGAAGAAGGAGAAAATCAGGAGGATAACCATAATAATAAGATGGATAACAATAATGATGATAATAATAAAATGAATAATAATGTTAAGAATGCGAATAACAATCATACTAATAATTATAATAAGGGGAATCCGGATAATAACAAGACAGACCGCCACAAGCATAAACTGCTGGCGCTCCGCGCGGATTTCTTGGAGATGGGCCGGACCCACCTCCCCGCCGCGCGGAGCGCGCCAGGGGCGGCGCCGGAGGCGCCGCCGGGGTTGGCCCTGCGCGGACCCAAGGAACCCGCGCGGAGCACCAAAAGTTTCTGTTTGTGGCGGTTGGTTGTTCTTCTCTCGGCTACACGCAAGAGTGACCCTGGGTAAGAGTGACCTTTGGTGTGCGGCTTTCTGGGGGCCGGGGGGGACCAAACCTGGGCGCGCAAGCCGCCGTTCCTGCTTCGTTCTCAGCCATCTGGTGACCCATCTGTTCGGCGGTGGACAAACCTCCCTTTAGTAGACCTCCCCGTAGCGAAAACGGCCCGGGACCGAAACCGACGGACCTGGACCCGCAAAAATGACGGCCGCAAAACGGCCAATTCCTTTATCGACGTGTCAGGGGTAGGAGGTCCATGCACCTCCGATCTGTGCCCGCGCCAAAGGTTACTCCGGCCAAAGGTCACTCTTACGTCTAGTCGATTATTCTTCGAGGATAAGCAGCACATCCTTCCAGAACATGAGGCCCTCCGCCGGCCAAGCGGAAGAGCACTCGAGGGTGCCCTCCCCCGGGATGCACGAGGCCATCCGAGGCGCACGAAGAACGCCAGGGTGACCTCAGGTGGCCGACCTCGACCTTACACCTCGGTCCGACCGCACAGGGATGCGCGGTGGGGAAGCAAGGACGTTGGACGCCTGAGTTGAGGCCCTGTGAGCAACACATTGCAAACGATACAGTCAAAAACCCTGATAAGGACGCGCGGTAAGGACGCAGGACCCTTGGAAGCCGAAGTCGGGATTTTTGGGGCGGCGGACGACGAAAACCTCAAGGACGCAAGAGCAAGGAAGAACAAGGACGCAAGGGTACCCTGAGCAAAGTCGCGCGTCCTTATTAGGGTTTTTGACTGTAACAACTGAGGCCGCACCGAAAATGCAAAAATGCAGATCCGTCGGTGCGATACCGTCTGGCCGGACCCCCTCCGACGAAGGCCGAGGCTGACAGCCCGCCAGGGGGTCCGCGCCCGGCTGGGCCCCGAGGCATCGGTCGAGCAGGGAGGGCGAGCGCACATGCGCTCAGAACCGATGCCGAGCCTGACAAGTGTTTCGGGCCACGCCCAGCCTTGGCGACAAGGGTGCCCCTTCCTCCCCCCCCCCCTTGGGAGAAGAAGCAGCGCCGCAAGCGTCGACTGATTGGCGCTCCGCGCGGATTGCTCGGATCTGCGCTGGGCCCCCCTCCCCTGGCGCGCGGAGCGCGCCAGGGGCGGCGCCGGAGGCGCCGCCAGGGGGGGCCCAGCGCGGATCCAAGACGTCCGCGCGGAGCTCCAACATGTCTTGTGTATGGCGCGATTTTTTGTTTCTCCTTCGACCTCTGCTGGCCGGAAGCAGTGCCGGGCCACCTGAGAGCCCCAGCCAGCCTTCGGTCGGGCATGTCCCCCTCCAGGCGGATTCTGAGCGACAATAAGATGGAAAATGCTCAAGCATGGGCCACAAAGACTGTCAAAATCGTCTCCAGACTATTTCTCCTGACTGTTCTTGACTGTTCCTCCTACAGGGGGACGTGCCCGCCTTTCGGGTCGGGCGAAAGAGGGGGATAGCAAAGGGAGGGTTTGAGAATCAGCTCGCGTAGCTAATTTTCCCGGCGCCTCCCGGCGCCGGAGGCGGCTATGTATCGAGGAATGGGCCCCTCGGTGGGGCCGAAACCACGTGCGTGCAGCAGATTTCGTACCCCCCCCTTTCCCTATCCCCCCCTTTCGTCCGGGCCGAGCCTTAGAGCGAAGGATTGCAAAAAAAACCGAAGGATTGCAAAAAAAACCGAAGGAGGGTTTTTGGGTTTTTTTTTGCATTTTTTTTTGCAATCCTGGGTTTTTTTGCAATCCTTCGAAGAGCCCAGGGAAAGACCCCACCCCACTGACACGGGGCGCATGCCAGGGCGAAGGAGCCCCCTGGGGCACGAAGAGGGAGAGAGAGCACCACGGGCGCTCCTCCGGACGCGGGGGGGGGGCTCGCCGGGACGGCGAGGCTCCGCCGGAGCCCCGTCGGGACACCGGAACGTGACCCCGGCGACGGGTCCAACCGTGCGCGGTCGTGAGCACCGTGGGAGGAGGAGGCTCGAGGACGAGGGCGAGGACGAGGGGGGGAGGGGGAGGATCGCGGAGGAGGAGGGGGAGGATCGAGGACGAGGACCGAGGACGAGGAGGAGGAGGGGGAGGATCGAGGACGAGGAGGAGGATCGAGGAGGAGGAGGATCGAGGACGAGGAGGAGGAGGGGGAGGATCGAGGACGAGGGAGTGAGGAAGCACGTCGAGGCTCGAGGGTCGAGGATCGCCGGGGAGGGGGGGGGGGCGGTGTGTCGCCCCAGCCCTGCCTCGCCATCGCTCGGACGTCCATGCCCTGTGTTTTTGTTCGGTTTCGTGCGTAGCTTTTTCGCCAAGTGATCAAGGATGCTCCTCGATGGTCCTCGCCGAAAGAAAAATGCACACGTCCAAGCGATGCCAAGCTACCGAATCGCAGCACGGCGGAGGCGTTGGTCAGGGAATGGGCCCAGGAGGCTGCAGCCCCTGGGGGCTTCCTTATCCGTAGGGGGCCACATGCGAACCCCCCCCCCTACCCCCCACGACTTCTGAGGGGGAGGGTGGGGTTCACTTTGCTCGAGAGCTTCCGAACGAAGTGAACCCCACCTTCCCCCTCAGAAATCGTGGGCGGCAGGGGTAGGGTTCTCATGTGGCCCCCTAATCCGGTGAGGGCGGCGGTGCCATCCATGGCCAATGCACGATTGGAGTTCCACCGGCTTCTAGACTCTGGGTTCCTTGTCCAATGATTCCTTATCCAATGCCCTCACCGTGTGTTCCATTGCCCCCATATAAGACCCCACCGGCCTTCCCCACATGCCCTCGGCCTCCCCACGGAAGGACTCTTCCGGCTGGGACTCCCTGGGCGGCTTGGGTCGATAACATGTTTTGCAGCAGGATTTGGGACGCACGGAGGCATACTGATACTATATGTCCTCCTTGGAGGCGCGCGTCACCCACCTCGTACTGTGTCGTTTCCCGAGCGGCGTGGCCAGATAGCGCCCGCCACGACGCATGTACCGTGGGATTTCTCGGTGCACGCGTCGCCCCTGCGGGGGGCGACGCACACATGGCATTCGCATAAGAAGACGAATGAGAAAACGAGACGAAGGATAAGCATAATGAGAAGAATCATCATAATAATACTAATACTAATAATAATATTAATAATAATAATAATGATAATAATAATAATAAAATAATAATAATAATACTGATAATAATAATAATACTAGTAATAATAATGACAAGACAGGCCGCCATGAGCATAAAGTTTTGGCGCTCCGCGCAGATTTCTTGGATCTGCGCTGGACCCACCTCCCCGCCGCGCGGAGCGCGCCAGGGGTGGCGTTTTTTCTTCTTCGAAGTATGTTGGGGTGACGCCGATACCGCGCTCTTGAATATCACCTTGAATAAATGTTCCTCTGCCACGAAACGAAAGAGGGATGAACCGACATGGGCCTGGGGGCGCATGCGGGCCCTGCCACGGGGGCCGTCGATGGAGCTCCCAATGGGGCCACGCAACGTGTGACGGGGGTGCCGGAATTGGTCTGGAGCCGCACGTGAGCTGCGCCACTGGGGGCCCTCGATAGAGCTCTCCACGGGGCCACGAAACTCGTGAGGGGTGAGCCGACACGGGGGAGAACCGCGTGCAGCCCTCACTCCTGGGGGCTTTGCTGGAGCTCCCTGTGGCGCCACGAAACGTGTGAGGAGTGCGCCGACATGGGCATGCGGAGAGCAGGGGCAGGGATGGGAGCCGGGAGCGAGGAGGAGAGGCGACGCGGGGCGATCTCTCTGCAAAGGCGAAGACCCGACACCCCATGGGGAATAACAAAACACCCAAAAACCTGCGACCCTCGACAGGACAGCACAACACAACCCAATACGATTGTTTTAGTTCCGCGGGGATCTCTGTTGGATCGGCGCCGGGCGCCCTGGCGGCGCCCTGGTGGCGCCGCCCGTGGCGCTCCTCGCGCCCCGAGAGGCGGGCCCGGCGCCGATCCCAAAGAGTCTGTGCGGAGAGCTCCGAGCCCTGCACGCTCGTGCAGTGTTTTTTTGGTCGTGCACTAGGACCTCCATATCCTCGACCCTATCGACCCTCGACCCGAACGCCTCCGACCCTCGATCCTCGCTCGGCCCAACGTACCTCGTATCCTCGACCTCGCTCGTTCGTACTCGGACCTCGCATCCTCGATCCTCGCTCGGCCCAACGTACCTCGTATCCTCGACCTCGCTCGTTCGTTCTCGGACCTCGCATCCTCGACCCCGCCGACCCTCGATCCGAGCACCTCCGACCCTCGGCCCTCGGCCCAACGCCAGGGCTGACGAACGGACCACACGCACCCGTACCCATAAGGGGGGTCGTTGGGAGGAGGACTGGCTGTGGGTATGGGTGCGGGTTGTCGGACCCTCGCGAGCGCTCCCGTTCGAGCGGGGACTAAAACAGGGCTAGGATCGGGATAAATCGCTCTCAGAGCGTTCCGGAACGCTCTGGAGCGGCCGCGGCGCCGAATACATCCTCCAAACCTCAGAGATTTCGAGTTATCCCGATCCGATTTTGTCCCGATCTTCGCGTCGTTTTAGGGACCCCCCTCCGACAACACGCACCCATGGCCCTCTCCGATCCCCCTATGGGTATAGGGTGTGTGTTGTCGGTTCGTCAAGGGCGGACCTCGTAGTGGAAGTGCGAGATGTCGTGGCCCGTGTCGTGCTGGAAGGGGCCTGGGCGGCGCACGCGCGCGTGCACCGCGGCCGGGCGAAAGCTTCCCGCCTGCGGCCGCCGCGCGGAGAAGACCGCGCGGTGACCTCGGAAACCACATCGGGCGGCGAGCGCTATACATTTTCGCCGCCCGATGCCCGTCCTGTGCCGTCCTGGGCGGTGTATACGGACCCTCGGCCATGGAGGCATACTCACCGCTCCCGGGCCAAGGATGGGTGGGTCTGGCCAGCGGAGGCGGGTTTGTATGAACCTCGTCTCCCTGTCCCCAGCGACCTCACCGTGCGGTCCGTCACCGCACGGTTCTGGGACCTCGGGAGATGACCCGAGTCCCAAAACCGCGCGGTGACCCCGAATCCCCACAGACTAGACTCACCACGCGGTGTTGTCGCCACGCCGTTTGGGGGCCCCCGGCTCCTCCCCATCCTTGCAAACCAAAGACCGGCGGGGAAAACAATCCGTAACTCGGAAGAGGGCCGGTCGAGACAACGGCGACGCACCCTGGCGCCCCGCCCTGCGGGGTGCTTCTCGGCACCCACGGCTGAATCCGCCCCGGAAGACGAGCCAGGACGGATCCACTGAGGGGCCCAGGGGCCGATTCCGAGCGCACGCGGGCCGGGCGGAGGCACCGCCGTTGTCTCCGACCGGCCGTCCGTCCCCCGAGCGACCGCGACACGAAATCGTGCCACTGACTTTCCTTTCGGCCGCGGCTCTTCTCGCCCCGTCCGCACGAGCGCGGGCCTGCTTGCAGCAGGGGCCCGACGGACGCTTGCTCGCTCGCCCTCCCTCGAACGAGGAAAGCGACGCCGGGAATGGGACCCTTCGGCGCACCCCAGAGTGGATGCCGCCAGTGTACGCACTGTCAGACACGCGGGCCGTCTCCCCAAGCATACTGTGCACATCGAGGTTAGCTCGCGAACCTACCCCGAAGAACGTCCACTGCGCTGCGCGCTGGCGGCCGAGTTTCCTGGCAGTGCCCCTGCCCCCGACATAGGATCGATCCGCATCGTGAGTAGCCGCCCCGAGAACCTGCCCCAAGCAGGGACCACGGCGCTGTGCGCGGTGGCGGCTGCGAGCGCCAGCTGCATGCTCGTGCCCGTGCCCCCGACATCGGATCGAGCCGCATCGTGGACGGCCCGCGCGCCTGGTCGGTGTCGCCCCCACCGCTGCGCCTGCGCCGCCTGGTCGGCGTCGCCGCTGTAAGGTCCGTAGCCCGTCGCGAATGGCTCTTCTCTCCAAGCCCCTGACTTTCTATACATACTCGGGAGCGCGCAAACATGGATTAGCGATCCATGGATTTGGCGCGCAGTCGCCGAATCCATGGATCGGGGGATGTGCCCTCCCCAAAATGCGGCCGGTGCCACCTCGCTCGGCGGCGGACATCCGCGTCTTCCCATGGAGACGGGACTCGTCGCTAATCCATGCCCCCTTGATCCATGCTCGCGATCGCCTGAGATACGGCTGGGCAAGGGATGATGATGATGATGATGATGATGGTGATGATGATGATGGTGATGATGGTGATGATGATGCTGATGCTGATGCTGTTGCTGCTGCTGCTGCTGCTGCTGCTGACGACGACGACGACGACGACGACGATGATGATGATGATGATGATGATGATGATGATGATGATGACGATGACGATGGTGATGGTGATGCTGATGATTCAGGCTGATGATGATGATGATGATGATGATGATGATGATGAAGATGATGAAGATGATGATGATCCCGAGAGGGGGAGGATGAGGAGGAGGAGGAGGAGGAGGAGGAGGAGGAGGAGGAGGAGGAGGAGGAGGAGGAGGAGGAGGGGGCTTGGGGAGGGGGGAGGAGCGAAGGCAGGAGGGAGAGGAGGAAAGGAGGAAGAAGGACGGAGGAGTCGCTGTTTCTCTGCATGCGGCTGGACATGGGATGTGGCCGTGAGCAGCCCTGGCCCCCGGGGGCCGGCGAGCGGCAGGCCGCGGCGCGCGAGGGCGCGCGCGGCCCCCCCTATCACGCCACGCGTCCCTCGACGGCCTCCCCGGATGGGGTCGGAAGGTCGCGACGTCGGCGCTGGGAGGCTCGGGCTCCACACCGCGCCGCGTCGCCGATGGATCGGCGACGCGGCACGCCCCCCCCCGATCCCGTGCTACTCGGGCCCCACTCGGGAAGCCGAGAGCCAAGAGGTGGGCGCCGCTGCAATACAGAACCGAGCTCTATGCATCGACGCTTTCCCGGCCCTGTACTGAAATTTGCAGAAAGGGAGGCCGATCCTGGTGTATACATGCTTCGTTGCTTCCCCGAGAAACGGATTTATAAAAGAGTATACACCATCCCACCCCGACGTCGCCCCCGACCCTTACAAAATGCGGGGATTGAAAAACAGCCCGCCACTGGTAAGGCATCGGTTCCAGTTCCCGACTGCTGGGGGGCGACCGGAATGGGGGGGAAAAGAATGGTGCACCTGTTGGGCCCGCAAGGCTCCCATTTGGGGCCCTCACGGGCCACTTCGGGGTCTCCGAAAGGGCTCCTTTTCTGCAGCCCTCTCTGCCCCCTCCGTGACCTCCCCTTAGATGCGCGACGACCAGGAGGAAGGGGCCCAAGGACACACACATAGATAAATACACACAAGTAAACCGATTCCCCCTATTTTCCTATGTTTTCTGGGTGTTTGTCTTCCCCCCCACTGCCCATATTTTCCAACATTTTCCATGGGGATCGACGATTCATTGTGTCTGTGTGTTGCTTTCCCCTCCTGGCCAGGAGGGCGCGCGGGGGCGGAGTCCTGGCCCGCGGCCCCTGCGCCCCAGGACCACCAGGAGTTCGGGGGCAACGCCTGGGAACCTCCCATACCCTCCTCCTCCTCCTCCTCCTCCTCCTCCTCCTCCTCCTCCTCCTCCTCCTCCTCCTTCATCTCCTCCTCCTCCTCCTCCTCCTCCTCCTCCTCCTCCTCCTCCTTCATCTCCTCCTCATCTCCTCCTCATCCTCCTCCTCCTCATCATCCTCCTCCTCCGCCTCCTCCGCCTCCTCCTCATCATCATCAGCATCAGCAGCAGCAGCGTCATCATCATCTTCATCGTCGGCTCTTGCGAATCGATGCCAGTCGACGCTGAAAATCGACGCTGATCGACGCCAAATCCACGCCAATCGACGCCAGCCGGCGCCAAATCGGCGCTACCTCATCGACTCCCAGACGCCAATCGACGCTCAAGACAAAATTACGAGGGTACACGAGGCTCCCATGATTTGGTTCTCAAGAGGCGGGCGTAGTCCCACGAACAGACAAGAAAGACTTGCTCGAATCCGTAGAGCCGGCATCGCCCCCCCCCCCGCCTCGTACTCAAGACACTTGGCTCATACATCTCGGGAGCGGCTAAGAGGGGGGTGTCCAAGAGGGGGGGGGGGTGCAAATCATGACCGGCGGCATGTGCGCGGTCCAGCGGGGGGGCCAGGGAACGCATTGAAACAAGAAGAGGCGCCGTGAAATCTGGGGAACTACCATGGCCCCCGCCATGATAACCACCCCCCCTAGTCATCACCCCCCTCTTTTCCGCCCCCGACGTACTCAAAACACTTGGCTCATACATCATCCCGTGCCTGTTCTCGGAAGAGGGCGCCGGGGCGGAGGCTGACCCGACGCCTCGGCGTCCCTGATGTCAGCACTCGCCATCGCTCGGACGCCTATTCCCTGCGCTTTTATCGGCTTCGTGCGTGTTTTCTTCGCCAAATGATCAAGGATGCTCCTCGATGGTCCTCGCCGACAGAAAAATGCACACGTCCGAGCGATGCCAAGATCAAGGCGGCCCGTTTTCCCAAGCTGTTCTGCGCCCGCGTCGAGGCCCCAGGACCGCTGCAGCCGACCAGCGTGCAATCCCCGAGCTCGTTCTCCGCTTCCGTCGACGTTCGTGCATCGATCTCAACACCCTCGTGAGTGCGGGATGATTAATGTTAAGTCGGGCCTGTCCCCCTACACGGGGATGTTCGACGAAAAATAAGAAAATACCCCACACATAATCTAACATTGATTTTTCCTTAGTAGCCTGGGGACTATTGTTTGAGCATGTTTTGACCATTTCGGGGTATGTTTGAAATATGTTTCTAATTTTCGTCGACAATCCCCCTGTAGGGGGACAGGCCCGACCGAAGATTCATGACATTGCGAATCGGATGTCCTGACGATGATCCAGGCCGCCAACGGCAGCCTGCGGGCGGGGTCGAGACCGCCGGGACCCGCACGTGAGACGACACGACGTCGGAGTCCGGGGAGGAGGAGCGGCACAGGTGCTCCTGGCCCAAGGATCGGGGAGGGCGCAGGGATCGGGGGTCGCCAAAGGTGCCCCGGGCCCAAGGTGACCCCAGCTTTTCGCTCCATCCTGGAGCCCCTGGGGCCCTCTGGACAACGCGACGGCCGCTCTGGAGGTCGTGGGGGGCTCCTTGGAAATCCTGGGGGCACCTTGGGCCAGGGGCCCTTCTGCCAACCCCCGAAAGGATGAGGCTGGAGAAGAGGAGGACCGGATCAGGCACCCGCCTCCAAAAACTCCCAGGCACCGCCCCCCGAGACCAGCCAGACAGGAACAACTCAGGCCACGCGAAAGGATGAGGACACCCCCAACAGAGCCCAGTAAGGCCCCAAAGGGGGCCCAGAGAAGGGATGCAGAGCGTCGGCGCCGTCGTCGTCGCCGCTGCCGCGCCGTCGCCGTTGTCCCCCCTCAGGGTCGGCGGCGCCCGCGCCGAGGCCTTCCCAATAACGATCAGGAGGAAGAGCGAAAGTAGAGGGAGGGCAAACGCCAGAAGCATCAGCTAATTGGCGCTCCGCGCGGATGTCCTGGATCTGCGCTGGACCCTCCCTTCCTGGAGCGCGGAGCGCGCTGTGGGCGGCGCCGGAGGCGCCGCCAGGGGGGGGTCCCAGCGCAGATCCAAGAAATCCGCGCGGAGCGTCGAAGATTGATGTTTGTGCAACTTGTTCGCCTTCGAAAGCATGGGGCTCGCCATCGCTCGGACGTCCATTCCCTGTTTTTTTCAGTTTCGTGCGTGGTTGTTTTTTTCGCCAAATGATCAAGGATGCTCCTCGATGGTCCTCGCCGAAAGAAAAATGCACACGTCCGAGCGATGCCAAGGGGGGGGAAGAGAGGGACGCGCAGCGACCGTCGGCGGCCGCGGGGGCGGGCGGGTGCCCAGCAGGCACTTCGCGAAGGGGTCGGCCGACTTCTCCTGGCGCGGGCGCGGCGCGGTGCCGCGCCCACCCACGCGAGGGGAAACTGCACTGACGGGGTGCGCCTTCCCCCCTCCGTGGCGGCCTGGCGGCGCGCACCAGGGGGTCAGGGGGGAGGGGGGAAGGCCTCTTGGAAGGAGCCCGCTGATTCGAGGGCGCTGGCCTTGCATCCACAAACAAGGCCCGCGCCTTCTGAGGAGCAGGGGTGCTTCGAAGAAGCCTCCCAACCTCCCCCTACACCCCTCTGCGCGTGGCAGACCCCCCCCTCAAGGAGAGAGAGAGAGAGAGAGAGAGAGAGGATGGAAACATAAAAAAACGATGGGGAGGAACAAAAAAGGGGAAGGAGGCCGAGCATCATCATCGGGAGGAGGGGGGACAGAGGCGGCGGGCGGGAGGAGGAGGCGAGGAAGGAGGAGGATGAGGATGAGGATGAGGATGACAAGGAGAAGGAGGAAGAAGATGAGGAGGAGAAGGAGGAACCAAGGAGGGCGAGGGATGAGAAGGAGGAGTTGCAATCGAGGGGGGGAAGCGCAAAGAGGAGGAGGACGTCGAATTTCACCATCACCTTGGCGTCGGCCACCCTGCTGCCCTGCTGGCATCCGATCAATCACGCACAATCTTGCTCTCCCCCGGCCTAGGGGAACAAAAAGTGGCATAAACATAACAACTAGGAGGTCCGCGCGGATTTCTCGGATCGGCGCTGGGCCCCCCCCGGCGGCGCCTCCGGCGCCGCCCCTGGCGCGCTCCGCACGCCAGGGAAAGGGGTCCAGCGCCGATCCGAGAAATCCGCGCGGACCTCCGAGTTTTTATGTCTACGTCACTTTCTGTTCCCCTGCTCCCTCTCGTCGTCCCCCTCCCGCTTCCAGTCCCAGGCCGTTGTCTGGCCTGCACGGGGCCCAGGCAGGGGCCCGGAGGCCCGAGCGTGGGGGAGAGATCCCCAGCGGAAGGAACGTGCACTCTCGGAGGTCCGCGCAGAGTTCTCGCGTCGGCGCTGGAGAAGTCGCCGAGGTGGTGCAGCGCAGCCCCGAGAAACCCGCAGGGGGCTCCGAAGCTGAGGTTTACGGTATGAGCTCGACCACAAAAACCTTTCACAAAGCCTCAGACCCAAGGACGTCCATTGAGTTCTGGTGTGGGAAGGTCACGACTTCCATCGCAAAACCATCGACCGCCAGGAAACCCAGGGCACCCAGGAGGCAACATGGGTGTTTCCTGGCACGGGTCTCCACTTTATGACTGTCTTCAAGGGGCCCAGGGACACACACAAATAAATAAATAAACACAAATAACAGGATTCGCATAAGTCGACATATTTTTCTGGATTTTCGTCTTCCCCCCCACTTCCCATATGTTTCCCCATATTTTCCGGGAAGTCGACGATTAATTGTGCCTGTGTGTGTTTTCCCCTCCTGATTTCCCTTAGGACCCCTCTCCTTCATGGCGACCCTGGAGGACTGGTCGCCGCGACGTCTTGCCGACGTGCGCCGGACACCTACAGGCCTGCCAGCCGCCGCTTGCTCCTTCTCTTCGTCCTTTGTTGTCCTCGGCAGTCTCAGCGTCCTCCACATCGTCATGATGATGAAGATGATCAGCATCATCATCAGCATCAGAAGCATCAAGACCATGATCATCATAATCACCAGCACCATCATCATGACCGTGCTCACGTTCATGATCATCGTCATGATCATGATCATGATCATGATCATGATCATGATCATGATCATCATCATCATCATCATCATCATCATCATCATCATCATGATCATCATTATCATCACCATCACAATCACCATCACCATCACCATCATCATCATCATCATCATCATCATCATCATCACCAACATCACAATCATCATCACCATTAGCATCATCAAGATCTTCATAATCATCATCAGCAGCATCATCAACATCATTATCACGTTCATGATGATCATCATAATCAACATCATCATCAACATCAGCATCAATGGCTTCAACGTGGTCACCACCGTAATCACCACCACCACCATCACCCTCAACATCACCATCGCTACCATGACCATCAACAACATCATCACCACCACCATCAAAATCGTCATCATCAGCAGCACCGGCATCATCAGCATCTCCATCTACAGCATCTTCATCATCATCACCATCATCACCATCACCACCATCAGCATTGTCATCATCATCAACATCGTCATCGTCATCATCATCAGCACCGTCATCATCATCATCATCATCATCATCATCATCATCGTCATCGTCATCATCATCATCATCATCATCATCATCATCATCATCATCATCATCATCATCATCATGGCTGCGCGCGCGCGGCACACGCCGGCCGCCGCGCGCAGCCATGCCGAGCCGCCGCTACGCTCCGACGGGGCGGCCCGGCGCGCGGGGCTCCTCGGCGCTGAGGTCGCGCCACCGCTGCAACGAGGCCGCCTCCTCGAGGGGATGCGGGCCCCGCGCGAGGGGGCGGGCTCCCGTGGGGCCCCGCCGCGGGGCGCTCGGAGGAGAGGGGGAGGGGGGGGGCCAGATGGGGGCGGAGGGAGGGCGCGGAGGAGGAAAGAGGCGGAGGGGACGAAGAGGCGACCACCAGAGTATCGAAACAGTGTTACAACGAGCATCGCCTGCCAGTGCCCGACACGTGCGGGCCCTCCAGCTCGGGCAGTCACGCTCCTGGCGCTCGGGGCCCTGCCTGGCGACCAGGGCTAAGAGCAGGTTGCAACGTCAGACCGCGAAAGACAGATCTGCGAGGCCACGCGAGGCTCTTTCTGGCTTCCTGCCGAGCTCCCCCCCCGTCCCTCCGCCTCGGGGATCTCCTGACCCGGGTCAATCCCAGACCCGGGCCAGCTGCCAGCAGGACACCAAAAAAAAACTGCAGCGCAGGAACAAAAAACTGCAACGCAGGTTTCTGAAGGGGCCAAGGGGCACACAAATAAATACACACAAATAAAACTATTCCCCATCTTTCCCCATATTTGTTCGGTGTTCGCCTTCCCCCCCACCTCCCATATTTTACCATATTTTCTGGGAGCCGACGATTCATTGTGTCTGTGTGTGTTTTTGTCCCCTCCTGATCCCCGCAAGCCCGGGTCCGCCGCTCTGCGCGGGCGCCCCGCGGCCACGAGCGGCCCGCAAGACCTGGGTCAGCCCGAGCGGGTCCTCGCAGGAGCCGGCAGGCTCTGGTGCCCCGGCTGACCCCCGTTTGCATCCCAAGGGTCCGACGTCGTGACTTTTTCAATACGGGGTCCCCGTAAGTCTCGACCCATTCCCCAGGACCGGTTTTTCATCCTGCGTCGTTTTGTTGACGGTCCCGGGGCCCGGCGAGGGCCGCTGGAGGCCGAAAATCGAGGAAGACCTCCGTCTTGATTTTTCCATTGCGTTGGAGGTCTGGGATTGACCCCCGTCGCTTGAGCCCCGACCGCCGCCCCCGGCGGCAACCCCCCGGGTCCGTGAAGAGGTGGTCGCCCGCCCGCCTGCCGCGCGCGCGCGGGGCGCGCGGGGACCAGGCACGGGCCCTCTGCGAGCCGAGCGCTTCCCCCCCCCCCCTCCTCCTCCTCCTCCTCCTCCTCCTCCTCCTCCTCCTCCTCCTCCTCCTCCTCCTCCTCCTCCTCCTCCTCCTCCTCCTCCTCCTCCTCCTCCTCCTCCTCCTCCTCCTCCTCCTCCTCCTCCTCCTCCTCCTCCTCCTCCTCCTCCTCCTCCTCCTCCTCCTCCTCCTCCTCTCCTCCTCCTCCTCCTCCTCCTCCTCCTCCTCCTCCTCCTCCTCCTCCCCTCCTCCTCCTCCTCCTCCTCCTCCTCTCCTCCTCCTCCTCCCCCCCCTCCCCCCCCCCTCCCCCTCCTCCTCCTCCTCCTCCTCCTCCTCCTCCTCCTCCTCCTCCTCCTCCTCCTCCTCCTCCTCCTCCTCCTCCTCCTCCTCCTCCTCCTCCTCCTCCTCCTCCCTCCTCCCCCTCCGCCTCCGCCTCCCTCCTCCTCCTCCTCCTCCTCCTCCCCTCCTCCTCCTCCTCCTCCCTCCTCCTCCTCCTCCTCCTCCTCCTCCTCCTCCTCCTCCTCCTCCTCCTCCTCCTCCTCCTCCTCCTCCTCCTCCTCCATGGCGATGGCGATGACGACGACGATCGCCACCGTCATCGCCGTCGCCGTCGCCCCCCGCCAGGACGCGCCAGACCAGGGCTTGGAAGCTGCCCCGCCCTGGAGGGGTCACCGAATGCGGTGAGTGTGTCTCGACCGGCGGCTGCAGCTCTCGGGGCACGCCCACGCCCTGGCTGAGCAGAGTCCCCGTTCCGAGTGCCGGCTGCCCTGAAGCCACCACCGCATCGGGAAGCCAGATCGGATCGGCGTGAGCCTCGGATCGTGCCGCATCGGCGCGGAACTGGAGCCTGATCAGACCGGCCACGCCAAGCATAAAACAGGGCTAGGATCGGCATAAATCGCTCCAGAGCGTTCCGGAGCGCTCTCAGAGCGTTCCGGAACGCTCTGGAGCGGCCGCGGCGCCCAATACATCCTCCAAACCCGCCCATTCTCAGAGATTTCGAGTTATCCCGATCCGATTTTGTCCCGATCTTCGCGTCGTTTGAAAGCATGCACAACGGCGCCATGCGAACATCGAGCCGCATCGGATCGGGGACACATCCATCGGAATCGAGTCGGATCGGGCAGGTCATAGTCGATACTGGATCAGGTCGATCGGATCGAGGTGGGGCCTCGGAGGAAGGGACATACCGTCGGAGCGTTGACCTCCCGCTGTTCTCCAGATGTTCAACTTCGACTTCCCATCGAGAATCCAAGGATAACCTAGGGCAAAATGTGAAACAATGAAGGAACACGAAGCCCTTCCCCAACGAAAAGGGTTCCTTAGTCAGCGCCCCGACTGTAGCAGGCCCAGAATGCAGCACCGATGGTGCGTGACATCCTCCCGTCCCAAGCCCACCCATCGCAACTCGCCGCGTGTATTCCTGTCACAGCGTGAATCCCGCCCACACCCCATGATATACGAGAGCCCCATGAGTCTACCATTCACGCGAGAGCCTCGTATTGGATTACACCCGCATAAGGACCCTGAAACAACGACAACGTATTACCATATACACGGGATGACACGCATCCTACTGTGTAACTGTTTCATTTGCGCGATGCGCGTGTGCTTCGCATACATGTATGAGTCCGGTCTCGTGTACGTGCGCAGGTCCACTGCACGTGTTTGGGAGTACATATGCGAGGAACATCTCGCGCGCTGCACGAGCGCTCGGACTCCAGCGCGGGCCAGGGGGCGCTGGAAGAGCCTGGGCGGCGCCATCATGCACAAGCGCGTGCCGGTCGTACCTATCGTCACCTTCATCCTCATGCCCATCCTCCTCTTACTCCCCAACACTGTCATCCTCATCATGCGAATACTCATTGCCATACGCATTACCATCATCACCACCATCATCGACATCATCAGAAGGGGCATCCCTGGCCTAAAACTGCCAGCCATGCCGTCACGTAGAGATAGTGCATCGTCATCATCACCGCACTTCAATCAGCATCAGCGCCATCGTCGCCATCGTCATCGACATCATCATCATCATCATCATCATCATCATCATCACCATCATCAGCATCATCAGCATCGCCATCGCCATCCTCATCCTCATCCTCAACCTCCTCCTCCCCCCGTCACCATCATCAGAATCATCAGAATCATCATCATCATCATCATCATCATCGCAATCACGATCATGAGTATCATCATCATCAGCAGCATCGTCCTCATCATCGTCATCGTCATCGTCATGATCATCGTCATCATTGTCAACATCATTCGTCATTATCACCATCATTGCCATCATTACTATCACCATCACCATCACCATCATCACCATTACCACCATCATCATCAACACCATCATCATCCGTATTCCCGTCCTCGTCCTCACCCGAACAGTCACGTTCATTCTCAATCGCATCACCAACATAATCAACACTGCTACGCACATCGTGCATAGCGTCACAGTCATCGTCATCCCCAGCACCATCCTCAGCATCGCAAGAATTAGCGTCAACATCATCATCATCATCATCATCATCACCATCACCATCACCATCACCATCACCATCACCATCACCATCACCATCACCATCATCATCATCATCATCATCATCATCATCATCATCATCATCATCATCATCATCATCTTCATCATCATCGTCATTATCATCATCGTCGTCGTCGTCGTGGGCCAAATGATCCCGGATTGGCCTTCGGGGAGTATCCGGCCGACTGCTCGCCTCGGGAGCCTTTTGGGGGCGTTCGGGAGGATTTGGGGGAGGGCTCCAGGAGAATGTGTGACGGTTCTCTTGGGGCCGTCGTATGTCGTTTCGGGAACCCGTCGGGCCGTCTGGAGGGCATCTGGAGGTCTGAGAGACTGGTCCATCGAGAACCTTTCGGCGAAATGTTGAAGACCTTTAGTTTTCCATTGGTTTTTGAACGAGTTGGGCGTCCGGTTGGACTCGTGGAAGCCTTTGGGGGGCATCTTGGACGTCTCTTGGGAGCCTCTTGGCGTTCCCTTGGGACCTCGAGAGGGCTCCGCAAGCTGTATTAGGGCGCTCTTGACCAGCCTGACGCCTTCGAACGACGTCAACCAAGCTCAGTGGGAGTTCCCTGGATGGACCCACCCTGGGAAACCCCCGAAAACAAAAACAAAAAAACACCCACGAGGACGATGCGGCAAACCGCATCGAAGAAATGAAAAGAACAAATCATGTAATGTTTAGCCGCGAACGAACCCACGAACTTATGAACAACTTCCCGAACACATTAACAACAGATCTCTGAAACTTCCACTGCAAACAAACCAGCGAAGCTGCGCCGAACAACCTCCCGGCCAAAGAAACGACTTTCAACTTGCAATGGTACTTCGGGAGCCGTAAACAAGCCAGCGGGGGGCAACAAATACGCGCACGGCAACCCATTCGGACACAAAAAACAAGACTGCTAAACGCTAGACGTCGCTAAATAGTAAATCCGCTCGCTCAAATACTGTTTCTGTCTCTTTCTTTTCGCAATGATGAGGGGCAAACCAAAAAAATGGAATTATCCGAAACGAGCAATGCTACCAAACAACAACTGCATCAAAAACACGGTTGTTCGATGAATTTGTGCTTTGCCGCTGCTAAACCAAGAACTAAGTGAGATACCCTCCTGCCTTACACAATGTACGCACCACGAACAAATGTTTGAAGGGCAGTGAAAAATTCGCGCATAGCCTCCAACATCGCGTGGTTGAGTTGAAGCGCCCGCGTACGCGGGGGCGAAAACCACGCGTTGCGACAGACGGGGAAGCAACACGAATCAGATAGAAAACCCTCAGGGCTACACCCGGGCGCGCAAGCGAGATAAGATTGCAAGGCGCTGCTAAGCTATCCCAAAACATCTTGACACTTAATGTGCAACTGACTATTGAATA